CTTTTAAGGACCAGAAAATGGGCAATGCATTTTATCACCCACAATCGGTCCACTTCAGTCTGAACACTAGTGGACAGTAATAAAGGTAGGCCTTAAGCTGGGACCAGTTTCCACAATGTTACCAGGACAGTCTGTTACCCTGGTAGAGTGAAGTCCATACCAGTTTCGATTAAAAAATAAATTTAGGGGCCAGCCCCATGGCCGAGTGGTTAAGTTTACGCATTCTGCTTTGGTGGCCCAGGGTTTTGCCAGTTCGAATCCTGGGCGTGGACATGGCACCGCTTGTCAAGCCACGCTGAGGCGGCATCCCACATGCCACAACTGGACCCATAGCTAAAAATACACAACTACGTACTAGGCGGCTTTGGGAGAAAAAGGAAAAATAAAACATTTTTTAAAAATTAAAAAAAAAAATTTCAAAGAAATCAGGTCATAGGCCAAAGTATAATTTGTAAAAGAAAACTGAATGGTTAAGTGGTTCAGGTCCACTTAACCAAAACACACAAACTTTAATTGGATCAGAATTACACCTGTCAAGGACCTAGGCGGTACACTCTTCTTTATAGCACCAATTCCTTCGAGGGGGAATTTCACAAGTCATCTGATTAAGTGTTCCCGCTATACCCGGGCTGGCTATAAATATCCCAAGCATGGTCACATCAGCATCAACATCCACGCATGCTCAGACTTCTGGTTTAGTGCCACTTTTCCCACCACTCCTTTATATCCCAGGAGGGTCTCACAGCCAGCAGGTAACTCTCCCCTCCCCACCCTGCCAAACCCTGGAGTGCCTTTTTACAGCTCCTCCTTCTCAGCCTCCTTCTTCTGGAAGGCAGTCAAGATGTTTAAGCTCTTCTGGAGTTCTTCCTTCTTCCCGTCGCTCATCTTGTTCTTCTCAATCAGCTTGGTGATCCGGGTCATCTCTGATGCTGGGAAATCTTCACCTTGGTCTAAGACCTTCCCCATGATCTTCAGGTATTGCTCAGCCCACTTCTTCTCAGTCTCCTTCACACTTGCGAGGTTGTCCTGCCCCCGCTTCAAGAGGGCCTGGCGGGCCTCCATGCCAGAGGCCCTGATGAACTCCCCAGCAAGGGCATCATATGCAGGCAGGCAACCAGGCATACCTAGGTAGACCCCTTGCCCCTTTAGCCAGCGCTGGATGGCTCCAACCTTAATCACACCGTTATACAGGATTGGGTTCTCAAAGTCCCCATCCCGGAAGAGGTAGAAGACTGGGTAGTTCTCTTTGTCCAGCTTGTATTTCTCACTCAGCTCCATGTTCAGCTTGTCACCATAATCTGTGAACAGAAATGAGATATGAGGAGCAAATCCATGAGGAATGCAGGGCAGGAGATGGTTAGAAGGCCTAACTGGGCAGAGAGGGAGATGAACCTTCTTGGCTGTATTTGAACTTCTCTGCTACTTCCTAGCCATATGGCATTAGTCGAGTCATTTAACCTCTCTGCACATCATTTTCCTCATCTGAAAAGTGGTAATTCTTCTGAGTATTTATTATATGCCCACTACATGCCAGGTCCTGTTCTAAGTTCTGGGGATGTAGGTGTGATTAAGAGTATCAAGCTCTCTGACCTCAAGGAGCTCATGTTCTTCGAAGGATGAGAAGAGAGAAAATAAACAAATGAACATAAGTGATCAGTGCCATGACGAAAATAAAACAGGGTGATGTGACCGAGTGACTGGGTAAGGCAGCCCACTTCAGGTGGTCATGGAAGGCCTCTGTGGAGATGACATGAATTGAGGAACCTGAATATCAAGGAGCCAGACATGTGAAGATCTGGGAAGAGTGTCTCAGGTAGACAGGACTGTAAGTACAAAAGCTCTGAGGCAGGAATGAGCTGGGTGTAGTTAAGGATTACAAAGGCCAATCTGGCTGGCACTTAGTGAGCAAGGGGACTGCGTGGTAGGTAAGGAACATAGCCCCTACCACGCGAGGGCTGCTGGGAGGACCCAATGAGGGGATACATGCACTTAACCTGGCAGAATTAAGTGCTTAATATGTGGTAGCTCTTAGCACTGGCTATGTCCTTCCTAAGAGGCAGTAGCCATCCCAAGAGCTGATGCCGTGACAACTGGTTTTTAACACCTTGCCAAGAAGAAATGGCCAAGACCATCTGTTACTGGGCAGTAGTAGAGGAAGCGTGGAGTTCCAATCCTACCCCGCCACTTTAAACTCTACGATCTTCATCAAGTTACTCAGCCTCCATTTCTTCATGTGAAAGATGGGGGTCATAGTACTTCCTTCAAAGAGTCGTCACAAGGATGCAATATATACAAAACACTTAGCACAGTGGCCTGGCACACAGTAGATATCTGATAAATGTTGGTTATTATTATTGTTCTAAAAGGCCCAACGGAGTGGACTCACACTTGAGTCAGAACTGACCAACCAACCAATTGTCTTTAAAGGAGGTGGCACCCTGGAGGATGCTTTAGCTAGGGAGCCCAGAATTAGAACTCCACAATTTCAGGGCCCTGGAGAAGTGTGACAGCTATCTCCACCCAGGACCAGACTCTGGAGCTTACTGGGGAACTGAGCCATCCCAGCTGGGAGGAAGCTGAGAGAGGGAGGAACCACTGCACTTAGGAATAAATACTTAGGTGGAGTTCTGGAGATGAGCCACTTCCTACCCCATAGCCTGAGACAAGTCACTGAAGCTCCCTGAGGTTCCTCAAGTTTTCCTCAAGTATAAAACGGAGATAATGTGTCTCGCTTCTCAGGCGGGGTTCAAGTGAAGATTAAAAATGCAATGTCTGTGCACATCTTTACAGACTGTAAACCACTACATGCTGGCAACTACTAGTATTAAAGTTGTCACTGTGGTTGAGAACTGCCCTTGGTTTAGTGGCAGCTCTGCTGGATTTGAGCTAAAGCCAAAACCCAATAGTTTTGGTACACAAGAGCTGACATGAAGATGGAAAACCTGACTATGCTGTCCCCTAGGAGGAATGGCACCCCGTCTCACCACAGTCTCCTGCAAGGAGAGCTCCAAGTTCTCACAGTAAGTTTAGTGTCAGTGTGGGGTGGGGGGTGAGGGATGGATTCCCTCCCCTCAGGTACCTGCAAGGCCGAGCTGAGGTTCTGTGGTCACGAATCTGCTCAGGCTAAGCTTGCCATGAGCACCATCCTTGAGAAGCATGACCCCGTTTACACTCCCTGTGTGTGGCTCAGACAGAAAGGCACTGCGTATTCCCCCTGCTAGTAGGGAAATAATTCCTAGCTTCCTCCCTCTCTGCCCTCCCCAGTCATCCTGGACTTGTCCATACCTGAGATCCCCACCTCTGCCACCAAGAGATCATCGCTGGAGGCCGAGTTTTCAGCCAGACGCTTGAACTCATCCTGCTTCTCACCGTAGGGGTACTGGGTGTCGAACTTCACCAAGACGAACTTGCTTTTGGGAATAACCTGAGGGTGTATAAGGCTGAGCAAGTTGGGGGTTCCAGAGACTTTTGGGACTAATTCCCTTTCCCAAGGGACCCCTGTTTAGGAAACAGAATAGAAACCAAGCCCACAAGGGGGACAAGCTCTCCCATACTAATATTCATTCATTCATTCACCCGCCCACTGATTCATTTAACAATTTAGTGGTACCTGCTACACACTGGGTACCCCACAATTAGGTACTTGTTCACACTAATCAAAGACATATACAATCCTGTCTACAATAAACAAAGATCTAGATGTACTCAGGCCTCCTCCAGTGGCCCTTTGGGTAAGGCTAAGGAGATCCTTAGCACACACTATCTTGGCCCCTGTCATGCCCATCATCCCAAGGGGCCTTTCTCAGTAAACATCAAACCAGAAATCTGACAAAAATCAACCAACCAATTGTCTTTAAAAGAGCTGGCACCCTGGAGGATGCTTTAGCTAGGGAGCCCAGAATTAGAACTCCACAATTTCAGGGCTCATGGGAAGCTGCTGAGAGACCAGAATTGGGACCATATCCCCTCCCTAGACCACAATTCTCTTTGGCTAGATCGCTAGGTCCTAAACTGTCATGGCCAAGACTTTTATTTAAATTATGGTAAAGTTATCATCACATAAAATTCGCCATTTTAAAGTACAGAATTTAGTGGGATTTAGTACATTAACAATGTTGTGCAACCATCACTAATATCTGGTTCCAGAACATTTCCATCTCCTGAAAAGGAACCAGGTCCCCATTAAACAGTCATTCCCCAGGCCTCCTAGCCCCTGGCAACCACTAATCTGCTTTCTGTCTCTATGGATTTGTCTACTCTGATAGAATCATACAATACCTGGCCTTTTGTGACCGGCTTCTTTCACTTAGCATAATGTTTTCAAGGTTTACCCATGTGGCATGTATCAGAATTTCATTCCTCTTTATGGCCAAATAAATATTCCATTGTATGGATATACCACAGTTTGTTTATCCATTTATCAGATGATGGACATTTCGATTGTTTCCACCTTTTGGCTATTTACAAATAGTGCTATTACGAATATTTGTGTCTAAGTTTTTGTTTGAACACCTATTTTCATTTCTTTTGGGTATATATCCAGGGGTAGAACTATGGGGTCATAGGATAATTCTATGTTTAACTTACTGAGGCATCCCAAGGACTTTCTTTTGATAGTTTCTTCCAATGCACAGATAATATCTAACAAAATGCCTTTGTCAATAATTCTGCCTTCTCCTCCTCCTACAGCTTTTTGATTTTCTAATCAAAGTGATCACTGACTCAGTTTTTCATCATAGGCAATCACTGTCATAATTAAGTCAAGCTGACATCATTTCAGTTTTTGTTAGTCTCTGTTCCTTATTGTGTGTTGATGTCCCTTTGGTTTTAGGGTTTTTTATTTTATTTTATTTTTTTCCTTTTTCTCCCGAAAGCTCCCCAGTACATAGTTGTATATTCTTCATTGTGGGTCCTTCTAGTTGTGGCATGTGGGACGCTGCCTCAGCGTGGTTTGATGAGCAGTGCCATGTCCGTGCCCAGGATCTGAACCAACAAAACACTGGGCTGCCTGCAGCGGAGTGCGCAAACCTAACCACTTGGCCACGGGGCGAGCCCCTGGTTTTAGGTTTTAAAAATATTTAACATTGCCTAGGGACACAAGGGAAGGGGGAGAAGTTACCAGAAGAGGTAATCTTTAAGTGGTCACTGACCCCAAAAGTCTGAGCTCTGAGGGCCTAAAAGCAGGAAAGACTTAAAATATAAATCAGATCACATCCCTCTGGCCCAAGTGGCCTTATTTCAGTTCAAAACACCAAATTTATTCCCACATAGGGCCTTTTCATTTGCTGTCTCTGCTGGCTGAATGCCCTTTCCCTGTTTTTTCCAGTTGTCTATCATTCAAAGCTCAGTGCAAATGGCTCTTCCTAATGGAGAGGCATCCTCTACTCATATCATTTAATACTGCTTCGCTTCCATCATACTCTGTCATGCGACCCTCCTCTGCCTTCTTCACAGCAATCACTCTCTGAAATCCTTCTTTGCTTGTTTGTTATCTGTCCTCTCCACTAGAATATACATTTATGAGAATCAAGGACCTTGTCGGACCTGTGTTCTGTTGTATCTCTAGTGCCCAACAGTGCCTGGCATGTGGCAGATGCTCCAAAATATTTGATAAATAAACAAAACTAGGACAGGCTTTTGTAGCCAGTGCTACATGTCCGGGGGGAAAATTTTTTTAAAAGCACAACAAATGATTCCTACCTTCAAGGGGCCTACATTTGTATTATGGAACAATATTAATAATCATACAGTGGTCTAATGAAATAGAATGGAGAGGCCTCCATCTTTTACTTTCACCATTCGTAGCTACTGGCAGAATGGTTTTAAATGCAGACATTTGCACAGTGAATTTCTTCTTGTTCTTTTACTCAGTCTGCACCTCTTAATTGCTTTAGAAATCTGTCTCCTTTCCTCATGCAGGAAATAGCTCCACCATAACCTATATTTAGGCAACTTGCTTCTTCAATGTACAGATGAATTCACTATTCATTCACTGAATAAAAAAGTACTGAGGGTCTATCATGTGCCAGACACCATTCTAAGTGAACACAGCAGCAAAGAAAACAGACAGGGTCTCTTATTTCTAGTGATAGTGAAGGGCAAGAAAAAAAAAAAGACATGGGACGTCACTGAAAGCCAAAGCATGGAACAAGACTGCTGGACTTAATTAACATGAGGAAGCTCCCCTTTTGTTCAATGGTGATGGAAGAGAGTGAGATTTAGAAAGGGACTGAAGAAAACACTTGCTCGTTCATTCAACAAATTACTATTGACATCTTCTATGTGACAGGTAACCTGCAAGGTTGTGTAGATGCAAGGTAGTTGATTCACAAGCATATAATATTCTAGTGTGGGAGATAATAAAACAGACCAAAAAAACCAGTGATGAATGCTCTACAGAGCAAACAGGTAATGTCACTAGTACTTTACCAAGGGAAGGGGAACAAAGAAAGACTGAGAAGGTAACATTTAACCAAAGCCTGAATGATGAGAAGCAACCAGCCTTTCAAAGACTGGGCAAAGAATGTTCTAGTCACAAGGAACTTCCAGTGCAAAGGGTCTAAGGCAGTAATGAACTAGGACTATTCAAAGGACAGAAGGCATGTGTGGCTGGAGCAGAGGGGGCAGAAAGAATGATTAGGAGATGACAGGAGAGGGAAGACAAGGGTCATCATGTAGGACTTAGGCTACTGTCTGGAGAATGGATTGAGAGGCTCAAGAGTGAAAGCTGGGAGACCAGTGAGGAGAGGCCATTGTAATGATAGCCTAGACCAGGGTGGTAGCAGTAAAGATGGAGGGGCACCAACCGATTAGGAAATACTGTTGACCTTACAGTGCAGTTTCCCTCTAAGTCACACCTGATCTGTGATGTTATTGCATTCCCATGCTTTGGGGGGTAGGGGTGTCACTTTCCCAATAAAGGCCCCCAAAGCATAAGGTGCTGTGGGGTATAGCTTACAACCACCCAGCCACACCTATACTTTTAAATTCTTGAAATTTTGCTTTGAATAAGCCACGGATGCCAAGTCCACGACAAAGAAGCTTTTTGAGAATAGGAAGGGTTCAATCACTTGAGAGAGGTTTAGAGCTCCCCTTCTTGGTTTCACTTCCCAGCAATGGGTGCAAACTAAGAAAATAAAATGACTGGGCCTCTCTCAACACTTGCCCATCTCGTAGTTAAAAGCTGCCAGTGGGTGAAGACACGTGCATGAGGAGGGGGCAGGGACTGCATTCAGCCTTCAACATTTCCAACGTCCATTTACCCAGGCCAGGACCCCAAATTCTGTAAATGGGTAGGTTGGAGGGGGGTATTAGTGGCAAATCCTTCCATGTCTTGACCCGATTTTACTGATTTTGTCCCCAGGCCCAAGATATTCCTTACAGGGTGGTTGAACTGAAGCTTATTCTTAACGCTTGCACTTTACAAGGAGATGCAGGATAGCTGGACACTGTTTGCATATTGCAAAGCAGGCTGCAATCCACACCAAAGGGAGAGGGGCAGAGACATGCGTACTAACACGTCGGGTTCCCGCCCCCCCACAGCCGGGAGGCGGGTGACGTCCGCCTCGCACCGCCCTCTGGGTCTCCCACTTGGGACTCCAGGATTGGATCTCGCCCGGCACCGCCCTCTCCCCGTGGGTGAGGGGAAGGGGCACCCAGTCCCCTCGGCTCCATCTCTGCAGCTCTTTTGCAAAAGAGGAAGCAAGTACAAATACCGCAAGGGCAAGGGTGCGCCGGACCCTGGATCGTGTATGCCCCGTGGTCATGATACGGCCCCGGCCCAGCCCTATATGATGGTGGGAAGCCCCGGGATCGTCGCTACGGACCACCACCCGCCAGCCCTCAGGCCCCTGCGTCCCCCACGGGTGCGCGCTCTCCCGGGTGCTCGGGCTGCACCTGCGCGCGATGTGCCCCCTCCCCCGTTACCTTGTAGAAAGTGACTGTATCCAGAGGAAGGGCGCCCTTGGTGTGCAGGCCGCTGCCGCCATGGGGAGCGGAGAGGAGCAGCAGGAACAGGAGAAGGGGAAACAGTGGAGAGAGTGAAGCGGCGTAGGACATGGCGGCAGCCATACCGTCGGACTCCGGCAGCAGAAGCCGGGAAGGCTGGCGCGGAGAAGGCGCGGAGTCGGGAGTCACGTGACTAGGAGGGCCGGCTCGGGTGCGCGCACGTGTACAACCCAGGAGGCTCCCATCCACCTAGGGGGAGGCGGAGGGGCCACGTGAGGGGCGGGGAAATGAGGCTGCCGCGCGCGCGCACTCGGCGAAGCTGGCGCAGGCCTCGGGTGAGGGGGCGGGGCCTCGGGCAGGGCGGGAAAAGAGTGAGACCGGGAGACTGCTGCGCATGCGCACTCGGCGAGGCCTGCCGCACGCCAACACTTTTCCTGTCCTCCGCGTGAGGAGAGGCGCGAAGCGCGTGCTTGGCGTCTGTGTAGCTCTTCATTCGCTGTCTTTCCTCCTCTGGGAAGATGACGAGGCCAGCCATCCTATCTTCCTGCTTTGGGTCCGCCAGGCAGCCAGTTGGGACCCGCTACCACCTTCGGTTAGTCGTCAGTCAGCCTGTGTTACTCCCGTCGCTCGGTTGGCCCAGCATTACCTTGTCGGTCGTCCTGTGCTCCGTGCCCTGGCCAGGCCCCGGGCTGGTCAGCTAGACTCGGCTCTGGGACACTCTAGGTCAGGGCCGCGCGTGCGCTCTGTGCGGTGGGGCAGTCGGCCTGCTGTGTGGTGGACGCCCGCCCCGCTCCTGTGAGGCGCGGCCTCGCTGAAGGCTGAGTGCCCGCCCCGTGCGCCCCGGGCTGCGGGAAGAATAGAAGAAATGCTAGCAGTTGGCGGTCAGCAGATGTTTGTCCAGGGCGTGGTTGCCTCCGGGTCCGCGTTTTGCTCGCGGGAAGACAGACTAGGTAGAGATGAGCGAGACAGCGTTTGGTGCGGGAGGGACGCCCGGGGCTGCGGGAGGAGCAGCCGTAAGCGTGGTCATAGAGCCGTTATGGTGTCGTTGGCAGAGAATGAGACTGTGTCACAGTACCGTGAAAACACAAGTGGCGGTCCGGTCCCTCCCGCTCGGGAGTGTCAGGAAACCTGAGAGACAGGAGGCGGCTCTGGAGCTGCATCTTGAGAGAAGAGGAGGCATTTATAAGGCAAACACCAAAGGCTGTTTGTAGCAAGGGGGAAAGCATGATGAACCTGTGAAGGGAGGCTGGAGCATGCTGGAAAGGACCCCATCGAGCTGGAGCGTTTGGCGCCACCAGAGGGTTTAACCAGCAGAGTAATGTCAGAAGTGCTGTCCCTCAGGAATGAGAGGATGGACTGGAAGGTTGAAGGCTGAAGGCAGGGAGGAGACCATTTAGGGTCTATTGGCATAGTCTAGGTGGGAGAGGTCAAGCTTCTGCAATAGTAATAGTAGGGAGGAGGAGGTAAGGATGGAATCAAGAAACCGCTGTAGGGTGGAATTCACGAGAGTTGATGAACCAGTGGGTGTGAGGGTAAGAGTAGGTTATATGATGCGTTATAAGGGCCTTGGCGCCCTACTACCCATTGTATGTGTCCAAGAAGTGTTTGTGTGTATGTATAAAATAGTCATCAAATAATAGGATCCAATCCTGGGCAGACAGTCTGGATAGAAATTCTGAGAGAAAGAGTCTGATGTGCGTGTGTGTGTTGGGGGAGGTTTAGAAAAAATTCTTTTGAGTTTGCCCTCATAAATTATTAAATAAAATGAGCTACGTAGACAAATGATAGAAGCCAGAGGAGGGGGAAATTGCTAGGAGCTTTGGTGGTTAAAGAACGCTTCATGTAGGAGGTGGAAATAGAGTTAAGCCTTGAAAGAAAGAACGTTTTAGGTGGAGAACAAGTGAAAAAGGAGCGGAAGCGCGAATGAGCGTGATGCTTTGGGGAAGGACCAGCTTGGCTGGAGGGAGTTCTCAAAACAGTAGTTAGTAAGACAGTTTTAATAAGCCGAGATAGGGGAGAGTCTTGAAAATGAAACTAAGAATTTTTTGCTTTGTCCTGTAGTCAGGAAGGAGCCATTGAGTTTTTAGAACCCTTTATAAGACATTTAGACTTTTTAAATTATTCGCTTCTGAATTTGTAAATACTTTGGGTACACCTAGTTAGTATTGCAGATCAGGAGGGACTTTCTCAGTCCTGCTTAGTTAAGAAGTAGGTTTTGGAAAAAGTGAAGGAAGTGGGTTGGTTGGAGAGGGAAGGGAAATATTGGTACTTTTGCTATGAATTGTAAAAGTACAGTAATTGTCTCAATACTTCCTTTAATAGTGCCCTGGGCCGGTCAGTTACTTCATGAGAAGTTTAGATTCTTGGCTTCAGGACCTTGACGACAATCTACACAAATAAGCCAGATATAATTCGCCATATGTAGAAAGTCATAAAATCCCGCAGTTGACGTTGATGTGGAAAATCAAAAGGCTCACTCTGGGTATTGTATGGAGGTAAGGAGGAGATGGTGAGGCATGTTACGTGAGTGTGCACATGGCTCAATGTAGCAGCTGGAATAAGGAGGAGGAAAAGTGGCGTGGTCCACTAAGGCACCTAGTATATAAACTCTCGCATCTTTTTTTCTAACATCATCAAGCCGGTGAGCCCCCAGTCTTACTGACCTCTTTGCTATGCCTTGTATACACAAGGCACGTTCCTGCCTCAGGGCCTTTGTACTGGCTTTCTCCCTCTAGAACACTTTTCTTCTAGATATTCATATGGTTAACTCCTTCACTTCCCTCAAGTCTTAGTTCAAATGTCAACTTCCTAAGACGTACCTTGACCATCCTTTAAAAAATTGATCCTAGATGGGATCACGTAATGGATAAAGCATTGGACTTCTGAAAAATTATTCTTCCCTGATACCTCCTTGCTTTCCATCTCCTTTCTCTCTGTTATTTTTCTCTATAGTGCTTTTCAGCATGTTAACATATGATATAATTTGCTTATTTTTCTTATTATCTGTTTCCCATGAGAGTTGGATTTTTTTGTGTGTGTGTTTTGTTCAGTATTATATCTCCAGCATCTGGAATGGTGTCTGGCCCGTGGTGGGTGCTCAGTAAATACTTGTTCAGTGACTAGATGAGTCAAGTCAGTGAGAGGAACTGTTCCATGGCTGTGTCTCAAAATTCCATTGGCCCTTTCTACATTCCCTTCTTAGACCACATGTTGTTCTTCAGAGATATGCCATCCCTTAGAGCTAATTGTTTTTCCTTACAAGGTTTTGTTGTTAGTGCTAGTTCTTTTGACATAGATGTCTTGAACTCTTAAAGCAGATTTGGCCTGTTAAAAATTGTTATGGGAGGGACCAGCTCAGTGGTATAGCGGTTAAGTTCACGCCCTCCACTTTGGTGGCCCAGGTTTGCCAGTTAGGATCCTGGGTGTAGACCTACACACCATTCATCAAGCCATGCTGTGATGGCGTCTCACATAGAGGAACTAGAAGGGCTTACAACTAGGATATACAACTATGTACTGGGGCTTTGGAGAGAAAAAAAACTTGTTATAGGAGGAGGGTTTATTCCACAGTATGATTTTATCCAGACCCCACCCTCCTTTAATAATTCTTTCAATATTTAACAACTATTTACTGAACATCTTTCATGTACCGTACACTATTCTGGGGATAAGGGTTACACTGGTGAACAAAATAGATGTGCTCCCTGCAGTCCTTTTAGGGGAGACAAACATTAAATAGTTACACAAATAAATATATAATTACAAATTGTGATAATTTCTAAGAAAAGAAAAGTTGAGGGCCTTTGAAGAATATGATGGGGGATTAATTTGGGTTGGAGTTCATGGAAAAACCTCTGCAAAGAAGTATATTTAAGCTGAGATAAGACTTAAAAGATGAATGGGATTCAACTCTCAAGGAATTTACACTCATGTGATGAGACAGACAAATAATTATATAAATAAATATAAAATTGATTGCTATGTGTTAGGAAGCATTTTAGGAAAAGAAAGCAGCCTATGCAAAGGGTGAGAAAGAGCTTGAAATATTTGAGGAACTAAAAGAATTCCACTCTGGAATTTGTCCTTTAACAAAATCATCAGCACAGAAGGAGGCTAGATGTGCAGGGATGTAGGGATGTTTACTGCAGCATTGTTTGCAGAAACCAAAAAAAGGGGGTAGAGAGAAAGAAAATTAATAAAAACAAAACCTGAAAACAACCTACATGTCCGTCGTAAGAGGAATTGTTAGATAAATGATCTTACGTGGAATGTTATACAGCTATCAAAATGGGTTAGAACTATTTCTGTTAAAGTGGAGAGATAGCCATGAAGTAATAGATGAGAAAATCAATGTGTCCAGAAATATATGATCCCATTTTTAAAAGCCTACCACCTTAACAACAACCCCCACATAGGTATGTATGTATTTAGATACGTTTTAATGAGTATAGAGAAAGATGTGGAGAAGTACGCCAGGCTTTTAGCATTGGTTACAGTCCAGGGGAGTGGAGAGAAAAAAAATAAGACTCCAATAAGACGAAAAGAATTATGGAATAATGTTGAGCAAAAAGAATATAGAATGCTAGCTGTAAAATTACTGCAAATATGTAAAAATTGAATATGCATGTAGACAAGGACTTAAAGTAACATCAATAAATAAAACATTATTTTGACTAGATGATGAGATTGCAGAAAATTTTTACTTTGGATTTCTGTTGTTTTAGTATTGTTTTTTCGCTAGAGTAATGTTATAAAACTTAGAGAGATTTTAACATCCAGGGATCAAATCATTTCAGCAGAGATGTTTTTCTTTCTTCTTTTGTCCTACTTTCAATTCATGTTATTTTGGCTTATTTTATGTACTCTTGTAAGCCACCTGAAATGTTATCTAGGTCAAAGGTGGATATAAGTGAGTAAA